CTCCCAACATGTACAAACCAACTGTATATCATAAATTCACTGTCAAAGGCAATGAAATCTTATTCATTAACATGAACAAAATTTTTACCATCAATTCTATGCATTTATTCATTCCTGATCCATGGAGAAGCTTCACCATTGTATTGTTGTAGCATTTTTGTTCATGACACTATATCCACCGGGATTATAGTATACACTCGATCCATTGCCTTCTTTGCCTAAACAACAAAAAAGACATTGCAGAAAAGGAAGATGACAACGAAATTTACACAATAGAGAGAGAGAGAGAGAGAGAGGTGTACTTATTGCTCCCAGTTAGTGTAGAATATAACCAAATCAAACCAAACCAAGCCTTAAGTCCCATCAAATGGGGTCGGCTACATGAATCCTTCTTCTCCACGCGGTCCTATTAAAGGCCATTTCATTAGTCAAATTAAGTAAATTCATATCTCTATTTATAACGCTAGTCAACGTTAATCTAGGCCTACCCCGTCCCCTAACACTTCCATCTACCGTTACAGCATCGCATCTCTTAACTACTGCCTCTGTTGGTCTTCGTTGAATATGACCAAAAACCATCTCAAACGATTCTCTTCTCAAACTTATCTTCTATCAGTGCTACTCCTACCCATTCCGAATACACTCATTCTTAATCCTGTCCTGTTTAGTCTTACCTACACATCCACCTTAGCATCCTCATCTCAGCCACACTCATCTTATCCACATGTTGTTTCTTGGTTGCCCAACACTCCGTCCCATAACAACATAGCTGGTCTAATAACCGTTCTATAAAACTTAACTTTTAGTCTAGTGGGTATTCGTTTATCGCACAATACCCCAGACGCACTTCTCCACTTACACCATCCCGCCTTATCCTATGGGCCACATCTGCATCAATCTCTCCCGCTGTTGTGATATCGACCCTAAAATAACGAAAATGTTCACTCTTAGCAGTTTTGGTTCTCAATCTTCACTTCTCCTCTGCTTTTATTGTTACTGTTACTAAATTTACACTCCTGTATCTGTCTTAGTTTTGCTTATCCCAAAATCCTTTAGATTCAAGAGCTTTTCTCAAAATCTCCAACTTTGTGTTAATTCCTTCTCTAGTCTCATCTACTAACACAATACCGTTTGCAAAAAGCATACACCATGGCACTCATCCTGAATATTTATCATCAACTCGTCCATAACTAAAGCAAAAAGATAAGCTTAAGGTAGATCCTTAGTGTAACCCTACAGTGATAGGAAATTCATTTGTCTTCCAGCTGGCGATCTAATAGTGGTCACACCCCTTCATACATGTCCCTAATCACGTCAATGGTAGCCTTTTGTACCCCTTTCTTCTCTAATCACCCACCATATTATATCTCGGGGTACTCTGTCATATGCTTTCTCAAGGTCGATAAACCACCATATGAATGTCTCTTTTCTTTCTTTATATTTTCTATTACTCTCTTCAAAGATAGATCACTTCATTGTTGACCTACCAGGCATAAACCAATTGATTCTCTGACACCTCTGTTATGTCTCGCAATCGGCGTTCCATCACCCTCTCCCACACTTTCATTATATGACACATTAGCTTGATTCCTTTATAGTTGTTACAATTCTAGATATCACCTTTATTTTTATAGATTGGTATTAAAATACTCTTCTTCCCCTCATCTGGCATGTTCCTAGTCAACAAAATTTTGCTAAACAACCTAGTCAACCAGCAACTCCCTTTTTACCCAAACACTTCCAAGCTTCAATAGAGATATCATCAGGTCCTAAAGCCTATTTGATTTCATCTTCTTAAGTGCAATCTCACTTCAAAGTTCCTAATCCTGCGATAGAACCTATAGTCTTGGTTTATCGTATTACTGGTTATTTCTTCCCCTATTGTCGTACTTCCATGTTCCTCATTTAACAGTTTCTCAAAATAATTCTTTCATCTTTCCTTAATTTCATCATCCTTCACCAATACCTTAGAATCCTCACTCTTGATGCACTTTACTTGATTAAAATCTCTTGTTTTCCTCTCCCGTATCTTAGCAAGTTTGTATACCCTCTTCTCTCCCTCCTTATTATCTAGTCTAGTGTAAAGGTCATCTCATGCTTTCATCTTAGTCTCTCTCACTACTTTCTTGACCTCCTTATTAGCCAATCTATAGCTCTTAAGGTTTTCCTTAGTTCTATCCTTCTGCCACTTTTTAAAGCACTCTTTTTTTGCCTTAACTACCGCTTGAACCTCTTCCCTCCACCACTAAGTTTCCCTAGAGCTGGGTCATGTTCCTTTCGACTCTCCAAGCACTCCCCTTGAGATTCTCCTCATACAATTGGCCATCGAATTCCACATAGTGTTATCATCATTTTCTAAGTCCCAAGTACCTTCCTTATCCATTCGATTCTTAAATATTTCTAGTTTATCCCCTTTTAGGTCCTACCATCTCGTCCTACGACGCCCACCATCCTTCCTAGCTTGGTATTACCCTCTAAAACATAAATCTAGTACCAAAATCCTATGTTGAGAGACCAGACTCTCTCCAGGAATCACCTTACAATCATTGCATTTTAGGCAGTCTACTTTTCTCACTAAGAAATAATCTATTTGGCTCTTAACTAATTCATTCTTAAAGGTTATGAAATGCTCCTCCCTCTTCTTATACATAGTATTGGCCACCACCAGGTCAGAAGCCAACGCAAAATCTAAGATTTTCTCTCCAGCCTCATTTCTGTCACCAAAACCGTATCCACCATGCACCCTTTCATAACCTAGTTTATCTATGCCCACATGGCCATTAAAATCTCCACTTATAACCAGGTTCTCTCCTACGGGTATCTCCTGTAAGATCTCATCCATTTGCTCCCAAAAATCCCTCTTAGTCTGATCATCTAACCCTACTTGAGCGGCGTAAGCGCTAATAATGTTCACTATATTCCTTCCAATAACTAGTTTAACTAGCATAATCCTATCTCCTTTCCTAGTGACCGCCACCACACTTTCCACAAGACCCTTGGCAATTATGATTCCTACCCCATTCCTGCGTCTATCCTTACCACTATAATAAAGTTTAAAACCAGTATTCTCAATTTCCCTAGCTTTTTCTCCCGTCCACTTAGTTTCTTGTATGCAAGCTATACTAACTCTCTTCCTAATCATAACATCTACTAATTCCATCGTCCTATCAGTTAAGGTTCCTATGTTCCAAGTGACTATCCTAAACCTATAGTCTTGGACTAGCTTCTTTACTCGCGCTCGTTCAGAGAAACGCAGAAACCTTTGCCCATTTTTCACCACACCCAGGCGTCGATGCGGCGCCCCTTGCTCACTTTTCGAAACATCCGGAGGCAGGCGCAACGCGTCACTTGAGGGGAATGACCTAGCATTTAAACGATTCAAAGTAGGATTCATTTTCATAAGGGATCCGAGCGGCTTTTTTACGTGTTGGCTGTCGGCTACCTAACACACAACCCTCCTTTTTAACCCGGGCTTGGGACCGACGGAGTTGTTAACAACCCCAGCGGAGTTAGTTAGTGTGGAATATAATGGTAAGAAATAATAAACTTTGTACAATGAGTGCGCACGTAAAAAACATGACAAAGAAGGGGAGAGATGATGTTCAAAGCAAAGAAAGATGCAGAACATACCTTTTCCTACAACAATTTGGACTTTTGGCGACAAGATTTGGTGACTAAAATGAATTTAGTTGCCAAAAGTTAGACATTTGGTGACTAAAATTTGTATTGGTTGGCAATGTTTCATATTTTAGCTACTAAAATTTTTTAGTAGCCGTATATTATTTATTGGCGACTAAAAACACAATTAATTGCTAAAAAGTGACCCAATAGGTGACTAAAAAACAGTTAGCCACTAAGAAGCGCCCAATAGGCGACTAAACAAAAATTCAGTAGCCAAAAATGCCACAATAGGCAACTAAAAAAATATTGGTCATTACTAGTTCAAGTTTTAGGCTACTAAAGTTTGTTTTAGTTGTGGTATATTAATTTTTGCTGACTAAAATAAATTTAATAGCCAAATAACTAGTATAGTTTTACTTTAAATCTTTGGTTACTACGTAATTTGGTTGGCAAATATGTATTTTCGGTAACCAAAAAATATTTCGTCACTGTATACTAATTTTTGCCAACTAAAATAAATTTATTAGCCAAATAACTAGCATATACAACAAATTATACTATTGGCGACTAAAATTTCATTTGGTCGGCATTAGTTCATGTTTTGGCTACTAAATAATTTAGTCGTCATATATTTATATTTGCTGACTAAAATATAAATTTAGTTGGCAAATATCTAGTACAAATCATGCACTATATTAAAATTTTTTTTGAAATCTTTTTTTTTAATGACTAAAATAGTTTAGTCAACAAATGGTGTTTTAAATTTTACTGGGAAAATTTTTAGATTGGGGCTCAGATTTTTGCCATTATTTAATTATTAATTTTTACAGTAATGATACGTAGCTCGAAAATTTCTAAGCTAGAATTTATTCCGAATCCAAAACGACGTCGTTTTAAACAGTAGTTTCATTTTACGAGGAGGTTATTTAATGAAAATTATCTTACCGGTAAGAGAATTTTAATATATCTTACCGGTAAAAGAATCCAAAACGACGTCGTTTTGGGCAGTTGGGGGATTCAGGGAAGAAAGATTCGGGGAACAAAACATTATTGTGTTTGGTTTGAATTTTTTGAATTAAATTTTTTGAAAACTGAGTTTTTTGGTTTTCGTATTCTTTTTTTTTGTGAATATTTTTTAAATTTTGAACATCAATATATTTTTTGTATTTTTGGTATTTAGTAAATTTTTAAAAGATTTTTTTTACAATTTTTTTACTTTTTAGGTGTATTTATGTTAAGTGTGTTTAAAAAGTAAAAAAATTACTTAAAATATTAAAAAAACTTAGTAAAAATAAAAAAACACAAAAAATAAAAAACTAATATTTTCTAAAAAATAAAAACAAGCAAGCTCTGTAAATTTTATTTTGTATCATGTGTTTAGTTTAGAAATGGGTTCTCTTTTGCCCTCTCTCTCTCTCTCTCTCTCTCTCTCGCTCACACACACACACACACACACAAACGCCACTAAACCTCACCTCTTCTCACCGCGAGCCGCTCATCTCACCGTCGCTCACCGCCGTGCGACGTCGCACATCGCCACCGCCGCAAATCGCAGTCGCACATCACCATTATCTCGCCTCCAGTTTACATTCAGGTTCTCTCTCTCTCTCTCTCTCTCTCCCTTCCTCTATTTTCCCATTTCGCTCTAGCTCTAGGGTTTTTTTATTTTATTTTTTATTTTTTATTTTTTTGATGCTGTAGGATTTCGATTTGGGTGAAATAAGTAAATGGTTTTTGATTTTTTTGAAGATTTAGGGTTTTATGAACTGATTATTGGTGTGATTCATGGTATTCTTGGTAAATGGATTTCGATTTAGGGTTTCTTTTTTTTATGCTGTAGGATTCTTGATATTCTTTTACATTTGAAATTGCTTTCCCTATCTCAGGAGGACTTGGATGATATATACAGGAATAGTTCTATTTGTAAACATAAATAACCCCAACACCCTTTTCCCCAAGGCCTTGAGGATTTCAGCCTCTAACTGCAGCGGTAACAGCAACAGCAGTGTTGCTAAGGCTAATCTTCTCTCTGAAGTTCACTCTAACCCCATTAAGCAAATTTATTAAAAGGGACCGACACTGGTCATTCTTTTTTTTCTTACATAGATTTACTTTTTTTGGACAGCCATCAAAGAATTGGGTAAAGAAAATACAGGATGAGTGGAGGATCCTTGAGAAAGATTTGCCAGGCAAGTTTTGTCATTGGTATTGGTAATAATCAATTTGTTTGCCTGATTTTGGGGCTATTTTTTATGATTGAACCCTTATTGTTGTTTATTGGGTAGACAAATACAAGAAATTGGTTTTCATTTGCATATCGATGGGGTTTACCATTACTGCTGCCTACCCCCCAGCCTCTCTTTTTCCACTGCTTTCCATTTTTTGCCTATCCTTTTTGTGAACATTCAGATGAGGTATGGCCTTCTTCAACTTCCATATGCCATCAGTTGTGCAATCCAATTCTTAATTTCATTATCCTATGGTTGCTTGATTGAGAACTCTCTTGGCTCTCTGTGTCTGAGTTTGGTTTGTCCTCATATTGAATTGGATTCGTGGTTGTTGATTTGTACTTTTCATACATTTGTTCTTTCCCACGAATTTGTTCTTCCTGTTATATCTTTCGCCCTCCAACTGTTTAATGCAATGCTCGAATCAAAAATTTATTTCTTTGCTCATCTTCTTCTACTTCTTCTGTTGTATTCTGAAGTCACATATTAGTTTGGATTTTAATATTTAATAAATTCATTTGTTATTCCTCTAGACCCAAGAAAGAATAACTTGAAACAAGAGATGAAAACTAAGAATCCAAGAGAGCAAGAAGGTGTTAAAGTGAGGAGAAACATAACCATCTGAGAATTTGACTGACAAGAGAAACATAACAAACTGATGTTAACACATGAATGCTTCCTTCATCCTTCATAGTAGGTTTTTCTTTTCTGTTCTTTTCTTTGTTCAACGATCCCTGTAACTTCAATGCATTATTAGTAATCTAAAATTACCATTCTAGCTTCCTGTATGACACGCATTCCTTTTTTTTCTCCTGTTTTTAATTTTTATTTCCCCCCTTTTAAAGATCTTATGGGCTCTCTAGTTTGGATTTTTTGACTTTTAAGCATATGATTTTGTTTTACAGTTGTAAACTTAACCCTCATAGATCTTCCTGGGCTGACAAAGGTTTCTGTGGGTAAGTATCTTAATAACATTTACTTGAAGCATAATAAAAAGAAACTAATCCATTAACTTGTGCTTTATTAAATGTTTAACTTTAATATTTTTTATGAGTAATAACAACCTTTCTTTTTGCAGAGGGACAGTCAGACACTATTGTTGAAGATATTGAAAACGTGGTCCATTCTTACGTTGAGAAGGTGCAGAACTTATCCTGGCAAGAACAGTGAACAATTTTTTCCTAATAAAAAAGAAGCACCAAATAAAATATGCATTTTTTGAGTCATCTACCTTCGGGAACTATATTTTACCTTGTGTTTGTTTGAGAAGATATATTGGCTGCTTGCAAAATTGCAGGTCAATAATTTAGAAGATATATGATTTTGTTTCTTAACGTAAATGCAAAGAATGCATATTTCATGCCAAAATCCTCTTCTTCCGATTATGGATCAAATGCTGCAGCATAACAAGAGGTGGAGATGCAAAGATTTTAGATACAAGGTGGAGATTACTTTTGGCATGAAACATATTACTATTGGCATGGTATAGATTAATCTATTAGATATTTCTTTGTGTATGGAGGACATGATTTTTGTATGATTATCTGTTTGTATGGAATTATTATTTTAGGTTAGATTATATTTAGTTTGTATGAAATTTGACGTTGAAAGTTTGAATTTTTGGATGATTGAAAGTGAAATAGAAATGGGTATATTTATTGTTTTGTTTATGTACCGGTTATAGGTTGAACGAAATAAATACAGTGGAGAAATTAATAAGAATAAAAAAATACAAAATAAAGTTCTTGGCGAATAAACCTTTAGTAGCAAAAAAAAAAGTGAAGTTGGCAACTAACCAATTGGTAGTCAAAAAAGAAATCAATATTTTTAGTAACTAAATATTTGGCAGCGAAAAAAAAATCAAAGATTTTTAGCGACTAAAAATTTAGTTGCTAAAAATAAATGAAACTTTAGGCGACTAAATACTTTAGTAGCTAAAAAAAATAAGATGAAAATATTTTTTTTTGGCTACTAAATATTTAGTAGCCAAAAATAAATGAGACTTTAGATGATTAAATAGTTTAGTAGTTAAAAAAAGAAAAATGAAAAATAAATTTTTTTGGTGACTAAATATTTAATAGTAAAAAATAAATGAGACTTTGGATGATTAAATAGTTAGTCGTAAAAAATAAAATAAATTTTTTAGCGACTAAATTCTTTGGTTCCTAACGTAATACTATTGTGACTAAAATTTATCCATGACTAAAAGTTTTAAGTTGTTGAAAACTAAAATTAATTTTATTTGAAAGCTTTTGGTGACTAAAGATTTAGTTGTTAATTTATGACTTTTGGCGATTGAATAACATTTAGTCGCCATTTACATTTTTTTGACAAATGTTCAATGACTAAGCGGGTGACCAAATAATTTAGCTAGCAAAAACTTTCGGGGACTAAATATTGACTTTTGGTAACTAAAAATTTATTTGTCAAAAGTATCATTTTTTATAGTGTAGTAATGTATAAAAGAGATAATTGATTAATAATTAGAGAAAATAAAAATTATGCAAAAAAATTACCCATAAAGCTATGTCTATGCATTAACTTATGTCACTCATATCAAATTAATTTAAATTTATATTCATTTAATGGTATTTGCGGAACCACATTCATATGAGATATTTAGTCATTTATTTAATAAAAAATTTGGTATTCCTAATATTATCTTTTTATAAATGAGATTACCACATCAGCATCCCATCTCATCATCTTAAACACCGTTAAATGACGTTAAGGCTTTGGAATTACCGCTGCATATTGAAATTGAAAATTTCAGATTTCCATGACTAGAAGTCTAAACATTTCATTCGCCCACATATTTTATTCGACTCCAATTCGTAGCTCGAATTCGGAGAAGAAGAAGAAGAAGAGAAGAAGGAGAAGAAGAAGGAAGGAGGAGGAAAAAGGAGAACTGGAGGGGAGGGGGCCATCAAAATCGGGCTGGAGGAGGCGGGGCCGGAGGTGGGACTGCACGGGGCTGCGACGATCAGAGCTGCTGCAACGATCGGAGATGTTGCGACAATCGGCGGCGGCAGAGGCACAGGAGGGGCCCTTCTCTCCTCTCCTCTCTCTTTCTCCCTTTCTCCTTCTCTTCCCCTCTGTTCTTCTCTTGTGTTCAATGAAGAAGAAGAAGAAAAGAAAGAAAGAAAAGGAAGAGAAAGAAAAGGAAGAAAAAAAAAAAAAAAAAAATCGCAAAACAACGTCGTTTTGCGATTCGAGCCAAAATCGGGCCAATTTTTTCGAACTACCAGTCATTTTCCTATTTTATTACTGTCTCTCTACAATTGTTCATCCCTCACAACGCCACCGACATCCACCGCCGGCACTTTTGGAAGGTGTTGGTACCATAATCTGTAATTATTATTATTATTATTATTATTTATAAATTATAGGACACGTGGCATGATTTGACACATTGGGAGATTGAAAGAAGTTATGAGATTGTATAAAAGACAAAATGGAGAACATGTAGAATGAAATGAAGGTTGAAAGAAGCTATGGAGATATAGACACTACAAGAAATGTCACTTTTGGCTACTAAAATATTGGTCGTCAAAAGTCTAATATTTAGTCACTAAAACGATTTAGCGACTAAAATATTTTGTCACCAAACTCGTCGCCTATACCCTGTCGGCGATAGTATTGGCGACTAAACTTTGTTTGGTCATCGAAAGTTACTACATTTCGCTACTAAATTTAGTTTAGTCGGCAAATGTTATGTTTCCGCCACAAAAACCTTTAGTCGCCGAATGAGGCTTTTTGGCTACTAAGTTGGTTTGGTCGAGGAAGGTGTCACTTTTAGCTACTAAATAATTGATCGCCGAAAGTACACATTTGGCTACAAAACATTATTTAGTCGACAAAAGGTTATTTCGGCGACTGAAGTGTTAGTCACTATAAGTGCTACCATAAAATGAGAATGACTATTATAGACCAAACATTTTGGTCACTAATAGAATACATATTTTTAGCGACTAATTAATTTTTGTCGTTGTTACTTTTGCCCACTAAAAGTTTCGTAGCCAAAAGCCTCTGAACATTCCTTTCTTCACTTTTTGCTACCAAACATTTTAGTCACCAAATGATACCTTTTTTTTCCGTGACTAAAAAATTTAGTGGCCAATAGTTTCTTTATTTCATTCTCAATTGTTTTAACTACTAATTATTTGGTCACAAAAAATTAGTGGGTTATGTTTTTGCTACTAAATTCTTAGTCACCAAAACATTTGATTACATATTTAGCTACCAAAATATTTGGTGGCCAAATACTTTAGCGTGTTTTTTTTTTTTAAAAATAAAATTTTCTAAACAGCCTGTATCCATTATTAATACAACCTGTACCCTGTATAAACAATATATTCCATCAACGCTAAATATATTATCAAGCATTCAACAACGTGCACACATTTCAGTTCCAACCATCCAAAAAATTAATATTGAACGTCCAATTATATATATATTACAAATTCCATAAGAACCAAATTAATTGTACACCTACAACTTCTATACCACAACAAAAATTATATTATGTACTGCCCCAAAACTATTTTGTACCACGTGCTATGTTCATTTCTACCATGCCAAATTAGATGATATTTACCACACCAAAAAAGTAATTTGTACAAACCACTGGATATACGGATAGAGATATAAAAACAATGCCCTCCCGTACTTGCCAACAAAAACACAATGTCATTTGTATGTCCAAAAACATCTGCAAAAAAGGGGAAAAAAATCATTAGTTTGGTACGTGTAGAGGCATTTCTGGACGACATATATATATTGTAATAATTTCCAACATTATATGTATAGGAGAGTAATATCTATTAACTAATGAAAGACATCCAAACATGGACCCATCATAAGTTTTTGTTTTAGCTTTTTAATCTCTAAATCTATCTGAATAAATTTTAGTAGTTAAATGTGAAACTAAACTGTGTAGGTATTACCAAATTACATAAATTATTTAGGGTGTACTTACCATTTCATCCAAAAATTATTTGTTATAAAAATGTAAGTGGACCCATCATGAATGTTTGTCTGGTATCCATAAAACTCACTATGCTTATGCTTTTGTGATCTCCATGAACCTTCCAGTTACGTTAAAATAGTGCTTTTCTGACCTCCATGGATGGAAATTGGTGTGTACTTTTTCTTCATAAAATATTCTAATTTATTCGATATAATCATAGAAAGTTTGGAAACACTTTCCTTAAAGAAGAAATTAAGTCAACAATGTAATGAAATCATAATACTGTTCATTTCTATTTAACTAATTCGTGGGTTTATACATGTAGATATACTTCTATTTGTGAATGAGTAATGCCTTGGGTTCCTTACAGGCTTATGGGGATAAGAGTTGAAAAAGATTATGCTTAACTATTCTTCCATAACACTATCTAATTTTGATAGATATCTTCAATACTTAGCTTTTTTAGTCCTAAGTTCCCTGATCTGTTGCTGAGGAATTATCTTTCCATCAGCCAAATCTTGAGGCCATGTTATATATATGAACTGTGTACTATTCAACTGTTGTTGCACATTTTGTAGTGGTGATAGTTAAACTGATCAAATACACAATTGCGCCTAAACCTTTGCTGAACTTTACAAATCCATTATTCGAATTTCAAACCGATTAGGTCAACAGGATATATCCGTCGTCACATTTAGTTCTTGCAAAATGGTGCCCCCCGAACCGCTTTTTTCGACTAAGTTTATGACATTTTCAACTCTAACTCCCAACGTACTTGTTCTACTTACGTACCGTCTGTTCCTACATGCCACATTTATCACCGGAAAGCATCCCGTTATGAAAAAACAGTGGCTCGGGGCCTGTTTTGCTTTTTCGCCCCCCGAAACCCTTTTTTCGACTAAGTTTATGACATTTTCAACCCTAAATCCCAACGTTTTACGTACCGTCTGTCCCTACATGTCACATTTATCACCGGGAAGCTTCCTGTTACGAAAAAACAATGGCTTGGGGGCTGTTTTGCATTTTTGCCCCCCGAACCCCTTTTTTCGACTAAGTTTATGACATTTTCAACCCTAAATCCCAACGTATGTGTACTACTTACGTACCGTCTGTCCCTACATGACACATTTGTCACCGGGAAGCTTCCCATTACCAAAAAACAATGGTTCGGGGCTTGTTTTGCATTTTCCTAGCCCGAACCCCTTTTTCCGACTAAGTTTATGGCATTTTCAACTCTAACTCCCAACGTAGAAGAAATGCACATTTTCATGTAAACAGTCAATGTGATCTCTTAATTTCCACAATTCAGTCAATGCAAATTGAAAAGCAAAAGTAAGCCAATGAAATTCAGACGCCAGATCCTAAACATTTTGCAAATTGGAGTTCCTACTGTGTCCAACAAAGCAATCCAATCATATCCTAGCCCTTACAACTTCACTATCAATGAGCATAACCATAACGTAGAACTATACAAGGAGACAACATAAACAGACCAGTTGGTCCACGTAAGGACTGCTGTGTAGGGAATTAAATAGCAATGCAGAATGCTGTGGCAGCAAAGAAGATAGCAAGTCACTCTAAGGCTTGGGCTGTGATGTGAAACTCACTACAAAGAGGGAGGCAAAGGCTAGTGAGATTGCAAAAAAAAAAAAAAATACATCAAGGATGTGAATTAGAATCAAGAAGAAGCAAATTATTTAAATGAACTAGAGAGAAAGAATTTCAATTTCAACCATTTAATGTGGTAATAAACAAATTTGTCCACACAAACTCATCAACATTTCATTCTCTTTAAACAAGAGAGTGACTGACCATAAAGAAGGTTTATGAATTCCGAGATATAAGGAAGAACTGCAACGCTTTGCATACCTGGGCTTCAAGGCAAGTGCTGAAAGTGCTGATACAATTGATGCTTTAAGAATGTACCTGAAAACTAGAATTGAGTGAGTCTTGAGAATTAAAATAAAAACTAAATGTTAGCTCTGTAATCTATTAATGCAGCAATCACAACTAACAATTGTTGGAAGATATGACTTTCATCAATGAACAAGTAACATTATCTAAAACCAAGTGCTTCAGCAAATAGCACACTAAAAAAACAAAACAAAACATAATCCATTGAGAATAGATGGTGGAATGAAATAGATCTTCGCTAAGATTTCTTATATCCACAAAACACAAACATCAAACCTCATTGTATAGCAGTTCATACATAAAGAAATAGATCTTCGTTGTCACTTTTATTATTCCAATTTTGTAATTAAGAGCTTGTTTTAACCACAGAATGCCCATCCTAAGTAAGACAACTATGATTGAGTTGAATGGTACAAAAAATGACCAGACAGATTTTAGGCAACTCAATGACAAATTGTGTCCCAATTCCTAACCCTATCTGCACAACTCACCCATTCTTTTCCTTTTATTACTACTTTATTACCAACTCAAATGCCTCAATCACATTTCAATAACAATGCCCTAAGTGTTAATTTCAATCACATTTAAAAAAAAAATGCCTTAATTTTCAGCATTAAACATTTGATTTCTGTGTGTTTTCACACACACACACACACATACATATATATACATATGTATGTGTGTATGTGTGTGTGTGTGTGTTTAAACAGAGACAGAGGCCAAGAGGGTGAAGTCGGGAGGGAGATACAGAGAGAGGGAGAGATAGATGCGAAATGGAGGACATACCTGGAAGGGAGTTTGGGGGATGATCCAGCAAGCCTTGTGATGGAGACAAAGCTGTAGAGAAGAGGGCTGAGGCGTGAGTGAGATAGAGAGAGAGAGAGAGAGAGAGAGAGAGAGAGAGAGAAAGAGGGAAACAGAGAGGCCTCTATGAGAAGGAGACTATCTTCGAAAAGGAGAGAGAGAGAGAGAGAGAGAGAGAGAGATGACATACCTGGGAGGGAGTTCGGGGGATGATCCAGATGGAGACAGAGCAGAATCAGACGCGGGAGTGCGAGAGGGAGGTAAATGGATTGCTTTGGCAATAAAAATAAAACAAACAAATAATAATTCCTGACCAAAATAGATTTTTGTCGCTAATAAATTTAAGAAAAATGTAATATTCCCTCTAAAATTTTGTGGCACGTTTAGCTACAGAATTATAGTCGGTATATAATTAATCATTAGCGACCAAAATTGAAATAGTCGCCCAAACCCAAAATTTCCATGACCATTGTACAATTAGTAGCCAAAAATTAAATAAATACGAATTAAACAAATTATATAGTTATTTTTCGCGACTAACATCATATTTAGCCGCCGAAAATTATATTTTTAACGACTAAAACGTAGTTAGTCGCCAAAAGTGAAGACAAATTCCGACTACACATTATTTTGGTAGCGAAATAGGGGACATTTACCGACCAACAAACTTTAGTAGCTAATAATTGAACATTTGGCGACCAAATGTTGTTTGGTAGCTAATGTGTGAACCATTGGCGACCAACTAATTTTTAGTAGCTAACGCATAACCCTTTGGCGACTAAATTTAGGGGTTGTTTGGGATGACCTAAATAAGTGCACTTTTTGTCTTTTTACGAAAAGATGTGCAGAAAAGTAGAGAGGTGATGTGATGGAAAAAAGATAAAAAGATGGATTATTTTTGGGTTGCCAAACTTGGCCTTAGTTTAGTCGGCAAAATTAGTCGCTGAATCTGTTTTTTGTTGTAGTGAGAGATGAACTGAAAGTTCATAGAGTATGAAATAGAGGAGATAGAAGATCATATAGAGACACATGATAAGAGAAGAATAAAGATAGAAGAATAGGATAGTTATTAGGTAGTTTTTTTCTATAAATTTTTACCTATAAATAGTCATTTATGACTACATTGTAAGATCCATCCAATTCAAATCAAAGACAATTGATTTTTATTTTTCTTATTATTTATATTTCTTACACTTTATTTTCAACACTTCATTTTCGAAATAGAAGTAGACGTAAATTTATGGTTACTTTGATTGTTCACTTAATTGTTCCGATTATTCACTCAATCATCTTTCTCTATCTCCCTCTTTTCTTCTTTTAGTTTTTCTATTTTTTACACTTGACAATTTTAAAGTTTTCTCTATTGAGACAAAAAAATCAACGTAATTACATGATAATTGGCTTGAATTTAATCTGTAAGGATTTTTCAATCTTTACTAGCACGCTTGTATTTATGATATTTTCCTTCGTAGGAAAAATAAGCCAAAAATAGCCAATAATTTTTTGGCGTGCCCGATGGGAACATCAAGTGAATGAAATGAAAAATGAATTTGATTTGTTCGTTCTAAATAGCCTAGATGGAATCTTTTAGCGTAAATACAACATGTTAGATCTCCAAAAAGAAATATATTTTCTTGATGAAACAAACTTTCATCCATTACAATATTGTTTGGTGGAAGAAAAAAGATACCATTTAGATAGAGAAATTCATCAACTTGAAATAAAAATTCACTAATGGAGGGATGGGTTGTTAACTTTCACTACCAAGTCTTTGACCGAGACTTTAATGGCCGAAATTAGTGAATTTTTTCATGATTGAAAGTGGCAAAGGCAAATCATTGACTTCATCAATGAATCGGGGCAGAAAACCCATTTCTAAAGAGCCAACTTATAAAAATAACATGGTTAAAGAGTATAGTGTTGAGTCAAGCATGATGAAAAATGATGTTTTATATAAGGCTGGAGGGATTGAAAAAACTATTCTTAGAGAGTTAAACTATGGAAACAACATACCCATGGAGGATTTTCATAAGCTATTAATAGTTAAAATAGAAAAACAACCTATTAGGCCAAGAAATGATGAAAATCACATGCATATGAGGCTCTTCATAAGTCACTAACGGCAAAAATGGAAAAACCGCCCATTAGGCCATGAAATGATGAAACTCACATACCTATGGAGGATTTTCATAAACTATTAATGGCTAAAATAGAAAAACAATCCAATTTGTTAATGAATGATGAAAATTATTTGGTCAAAGAACATGTTCTTAAACCAAACATGGTTAAAGATGATGATCAGCCCATTGTTAATTGATTTAAAATATTTGATATTGTTGAAAATGTCAAAATATTTAAATTTCAAAAGCCATATTATGCCATGACATTCGGTGTTCAAAATCCATTTTGAATTTGTGGGTCGCATCAAAATTTAATTTTGATGAAATGACTAATAAAACAATAATCTTTAAGTATTGTTTTTATGAGTTTGATGCAGTAAAGAATAACTTAGCTGTTTGAAAGGTAAAAATTAGCTAAGAATGACCAATTTATTTGAAGCAATGACTTTATTTTATTTTATTTTAATTTCTAAAAATTTGAGATTTATGAACAACCACATAACACCATAATTAATTTTGTGGAGTGGTGTACTTTTGGATTTCATCTATGCGGGCATTCTCAAATTTGTTTAGACTTTGTGAGGCATTGGTTAATTTCCTTTTGAGAAGACCAAAGTCAGGTTGTCTTCAAAGTAAACATGTCAATTATTATTTTTCTTTTCTTTGATATGAATCAAAGCATGTGCTTTGAAAGTCTTTTTTATTGCGACTTCATGAATTTTGAAGGATTGTTTGTTGCATCAACAATAGTCTTGGGTTTCAAACAATTTATGGTTGAATATAATTGTAGACTTTCGAAGCCTCAGGAATGGTTTTGAAGGTTGGTTACTTGCCTTCAAAGCTTCAGGAATTGCTTTAAAGATTGGTTACTCGCCTTCGAAGCTTTGAGAATTGTCTCAAAAGTTAGTTACTTGCCTTCGAAACTTTGGGAATTGTTTTGAATGTTAGTTACCTTCAAAACTTTGAGAATTGTTTCAAAGGTAGGTTATTTCTAAGATTTGAAGTATACCATGGCACAGGAAAGTTTCCGATAAACATGCAATGGCACTTTGAAATTCTGCAAAACACTCTCGCATTTATGATGTTTTTCCTTCTTAAAATAAATAAGTCAAAAAATAGCCAACCACTGCAAGAAACTTCACTTTTGGCGACTAAAATTTTAGTCGCCAAAAGCCTTGTTTTTAGTCGCCAATCACTTTTGTCGACTAATATATTTGGTTGACCGTTTGGTCACTAATAGTTTGTCGGGAAAACAATTGGCGACTAAAATTTTTTTGGTAGCCAAAAGTGGCCTATTGGTGACTAAAATTTAGTCGCCATATACTTTTTTTTAGTTGCCATATATTTTTTAAAAATAATCAAATATATATATATATTTACTTTTAGCGACTAAATTATTTAATAGCCAAAAGTTTCACTTTTTGAAAATTGGCGACTAAAAATTTAGTAGCCAAAAGTTTGTTTTTACAATTGGCGACTAACAGTTTAGTAGGCCAAAGTTTCACTTTTTTACAATTGGCGACTAAAGTTTTAATAGTCAAAAGCCAACCTGTGATATTTGTTTAGTCACCAAAAGGTCTCATATAGTTTTTATAATTTATTTTTTAATATTTTTTACGCCACCTATAACCTGTGCATATACAAAATTATTCATTCATTCATTCAATTCTCAACCATTCAATAAAAATATTTCTCTACAACCTGTACCATTTAATTTTTAACCACATACAAAACTTAACTATTAACCGCACATATCAAAGAAAATAAAAATCCATAAACATAGTATAATCCAACAAATACATATACTATCCCAACCAACAATTAAAATCCAAATTAAAGAAAATCTTAATAACAATTGTGATGATGATGATGATGATGATGATGATGATGATGATTTGGGGCAGAGGGAAGAAGGGTCCAGGGGGGTCAAGTGCCCCCTGGGTTTTGAATTTTTTTTTTTTGGGAGAAACATAAAGAAAATATTTTAAATAAAAAAATTTATAAAAATATTATTTAAAGTGAAATGTCAATGACATTTTTAAAATTATAAGAACAATAATGATTGTTTTGATTGAAAATAACGACACTACGATATTATTATCTATAAAAATTCTAATATAATGGTGATATCTATCATTATTGACATGCAAACATAATTAGGCCAAGTTTGGCATGATTAAAAAAAGTCAAAAAGTCACTATCCTATTTAAGTCACATCATCTTATTTAAGTCACATCACCTCTCTAACATATCACTTCAAACCCAACCCAAACCCAACCCATATTTCATAAAAAGTCAAAAAGTGCACTTATTTAGTCTTCCCAAACTAGGCCTTAATCTCAATGAAAATATAAAATTTATTGAATTGTTAGTTATATTTGACATGTAGGGTTCATCCTCCATATATTTCTTTACTATTGATTGGTGAGATCACATGTCAATGATGACGTGGTATGGCTATTATATTGAATTTTTACACATATTTTGTATAAAAAAATTACTTTATCATTATATAATTTATTTTAAAACTTTATATCCATGACTTTTTTTAATATTGTTCATGATACACTAATTACAAAAAACATTCACTTTGTTTGGTTTGAGTTTTCTAAAAACACTTTTCACAAAATTTTACTTTTTTGTTTTCCGTATTTTTTATTTTTACTGAATTTTTTTAATTTTATACAATTTTTTTAATTTTTAGACACACCTAACATAAATATACTTAAAAAGTATAATTTTTGCAAAAAAAAATCTTTAAAAAATTCACTAAATACCAAAAATACAAAAAATATAAAAAATAGTACATTTTTCATATTTTTATGTGTTTATTAATTTTTTAAAATATTTTTTCACAAATATTTTATTTATTTTTAGATACATCTAAGTAAGATGCATCTAAAAAAGTAAAAAAAAATTGTTTAAAATTTTAAAAATATTCACTAAAAGCAAAAAAAAAATACAAAAAATAAAAAAACTCAATTTTCAAAAAATTAATTCAAAAAACTCAAACCAAACACACTGATTATTTTTTTTTTTAATTTTTCTTGAAGTCAATCGTAAAACTTTATGTGAAATATTTTTGTAAACATTTTTTAATATAATTAATAAGTGCCCTCTAATTTAATTTTTTGGCTCCGCCACTGATGATGATGCTGATGCTAGAGACACAGTTGTTGGGCTTAAGGTCCTTCCACAATTGTTCTTCATCAATTTGTCACGTGGATGTTCATGTTCTACATCATGACGAGAATGACAGTTTAAAAAATAAATTGAAACTGTTAAAATAATTAAAGTTATTAATTTAAGATTTTAAGATGACTTCAAACTGTCAACTGTACTTCAAGCATTTGCAAAAGCGTTCTAACTTTGTAAGAATTCGGGAAAGAAAATTCATGGTTGAAGGATATGTACTCCGAGCAAAGTATTTGATTAAATAAAAAAGAGAAATGCTACTAAAGCAAGCTTTGGACAAGAAATTGGAACGAAAAGCCACTGGTCCTAAATCTCTTACTTTAAGTTCCTACTACTCACCAATAAATTGGAAGTCGTTAGGATTTAGGGTTCCAAAGATAAAAATCCCAAAGAAGGGATTAACGGATAGAAATTCATATTTGTTTTGATTTTAAAATCAAGTTGCAATACAAGTACTCTGATACCTGCTTCTCACAAACAACAGTTTATCTTAGTAATGTTCTATTTAAAACACAGGACCCAATATCCATGTTTCATAGATGAATAGTATGCTATACTAATAAAGAGCAATAATGATGAAGGACTAGAGAAAAACCTTGGGTCTCCAGCTCTAGGCCTCTTAGGATCAACAAACTGAACAATTAATGGTTGATCAGACCCCTAAGATGCAAAAGGAGAAGATAAATGATTAGTGTTTGGTAACATTAAATAGAGAACATAACACCGTTGAAATAGCAAAATAAGCTTACTTTCATTGTATATATTCCATTAAGCGCATTAATAGTTGCCATCGCCATTTCTCTATGAAAATATTTAACAAATCCACACCCTTCAAAACAGTTGGACCTATAACAGAGAAGCAGTGGAACATGATAACAATAACTGTAGCATACATCTCAATAAGGATTAGAAAGAAACACTTGGATTAGCACAGAGGAAAATTATAAATCCTAAGAAGCTTTATATATAAATGACCCAATATCTAAACTAAGGTAAGTAGAAACCAGTCCTCAAAACCTCTCTATGACATTTTTTCATACACTTGGTGAGCATAAATCAAAAAGAGTAGTTTGCTCACCAACACAGGAAAACAAACCAACCCATTTTCACAAACACTGGCACATGAGACATGAATGAATGACAGATGACTTCAACTCTAAAAAAAAAGAACATCCAAAATCTAAAAAAACCCAAATTTCTTTCATTGTTTTTGGGACATTTGAACAAGGGTCCCTCATAATGATAATTTTTTTGCAAAATTGAGAGAGAGAGAGAGAGAGAGACCTTCCATTCGGAGAAAACAAAGTCTTGTTTGGTGCGTTTACAATCTTCCCTGGTGCTCCGGTTGCTGGCGAACGCGAGGAGGAGCGGTGGTGAGAGAGGGAGGGGAGAGGAGCAGCGGAGAGGGAGAGGGAGAGACGCTGAAAATAGAGAGACAGAGAGTTGCTGGTTTCTTACGGTTTGGGTTGGAAACAAAATACATATAATTAATAACCATTCGCGACTAAAATTTTAGTCGCTAATTAATTTTTTAATCCCTCCAAAATTTGAAATCTCCCTCCAAATATTTTTAGTTTTTTGGCGACTAAAATATTTTTTTGTTGCTGAAAATATACTTTTGGCGACCAAACTTTTGGTCACCAAAGATAAAAAATAATTTTTTCTTTTCATTCGGCTACTAAACAATTTTAGTACCTAAAACTAACTATACGGCTACTAAAATTTTCTTTTGTAGCTGAAAATATGCTTTTGGCAACCAAACTTTTGGTCCCCAAAGGTAAAAAATAATTTTTTTCTTTTCATTCAGCTACTAAACAATTTCAGTAGCTAAAACTAACTATACGGCTACTAAAATATTCTTTTATCATTAAAAATATACTTTTGGCGACAAAACTTTTGATCGCCAAATGTAAAAAATATATATTTTTTTTTTCATTCGGTTACTAAACTATTTTAGTAGCCAAAACTAGCTATACGGCTACTAAATTTTTTTTTAGTCGCCATTGTAATATTTTTAGCGACTAAATTTTTTTAGTCGCCAATAATCAATATTCCTAGACTAAAAAAATTAGTGGCTAAATATTTGACTTTTGCCGACTAATATTATTTTTTGGTCGCCAATTCTACAACCTTTGGCCACTAAATTTTTTTAGTCGCCAAAAATTATCGCCAAAATTGCATTTTGTTGTAGTGAACACATGGCCACCACAACCTTCATCCGGCACAACCAGTTCGGCACTGGCTCCACTGCTCTACAATATTTGTCAGCACCAATCTACTTGCCGATGAACTCCATTACTAACCCTCTCACTCCACTTCTTCCTTTTCCTTTTCCTTTTTTTTTTCTTTTTCTTTCTCTTTCTTGTCTGCAGCATTTTCATTTACCCATCTCTCCACCTCTCTACCAATTCAAAGTCTGTGGCGTAGTCTGAAAAGAACACTTTAGGAGACAAACAGAGCATTTTGTTATTTTGCAAACATTCGGAGCCCCGGTGGAACTGTTGGACAATCTTCACTGTAATTAATTAATTTAGTTTGTGTACTTAACAACAAACAAAATATAAAAGAAATAAAGGAAATGAAAGAATTTATTTGATTACAAAAATCAAACTCAAAATAAAAATAAATAAATAAAAACAGACTTTATTTTGTTACAAAAACAAAATTAAAATCTGATTTAAATAAATAATAATAACACTGAAAATAAATTAAATAACTTACTTGATTTAATTTCTTCGAATTATAATTTGATCAAGTCCAGTGTTTGACACTGTGTTCTTAAGACAGATTCGTCCTCTCCATGGTGCTTTCAGAATTTGGACGTCTATCTCCCAGGATAAAATGATCTACTACAAACAATAGCAGCACTACAAATTGTTTGCCTAACGAACACACTAAGTGTTTATACTCTCTTTGACAAGAAAATAATGCAGCAAAATGAAGAGGATGTTTGCAGAATTATGAAGGACGAAAATTAGAGTTTTTAAAATCCAAATGAAGGCTGTCCTATTTATAGATGTAATGGTGGCTGTAGGTTTTGAATTGAATAGGTATGAAACCTGTTTAAAATTTTTCTTGAAGTCAATCGTAAAAATTTATTGAAATATTTTTGTAAACATTTTTTAATATAATTAATAAGTTGCCCTGTAATTTATTTTTTGGCTCCGCCACAGATGATGATGCTGATGCTAGAGACACAGTTGTTGGGCTTAAGGTCCTTCCACAATTGTTCTTCATCAATTGTCATGGATGTTATGTTCTACATCATGACGAGAATGACAGTTTAAAAAATAAATTGAAACTGTAAAATAATTAAAGTTATAATTTAAGATTTTAAGATGACTTCAAACTGTCAACTGTACTTCAAGCATTGCAAAAGCGTTCTAACTTTGTAAGAATTCGGAAAGAAAATCATGGTTGAAGGATATGTACTCCGAGCAAAGTATTTGATTAAAATAAAAAAGAGAAATGCTACTAAAGCAAGCTTGGACAAGAAATTGGAACGAAAAGCCATGGTCCTAAATCTCTTACTTTAAGTTCCTACTACTCACCAATAAATTGGAAGTCGTTAGGATTTAGGGTTCCACAAAGAAGGGATTAACGGATAGAAGTTCATATGGTTTTGATTTAAAAATCAAGTTGCAATACAAGTACTCTGATACCTGTCTTCTCACAAACAACAGTTTATCTTAGTAATGTCCTATTTAAAACACAGGACCCAATATCCATGTTTCATAGATGAATAGTATGCTATACTAATAAAGAGCAAAATATTCACTAAAAACAAAAAAAACACGAAAACCCAAAAACTCAATTTTCAAAAAACTTAATCCAAAAAACTCAAACCAAACACACTGATTAGTTCTTCCTTTTTTTTTCCTTTTATTTTAGTATTGACTAATATGAAAATATTTTTCAAATTTCTAAAAGAAAATATTTTTTAGGTTTCTCATTATAGTCCTACCAAATATCAAATATGATAAGCTTTTTAAAATCACATTTTTAAATTTAAAACAATTGCTATTTTTTTTTTATTTGGGGCAAAGCACCAATAAATCCCAAATTTTAACTTGTTGAACCATTTGGTCCTACTTTTTATTTTGTAGATTGATAAGTCATGTTTGAACGTTAATTATGTATATACCCATTTATTTAACACGTGATTTTTTTTGGGTGGAGAGCAAACGTAAGTTTTTACTGATGTTGTAATGACAAAAATGCCCAAAAGCTTACTATAGGTTTTTTTATTTATTTAAGATTTCCCTCCTTTCCGAACAAAACGGTAGAGATATTATGAAAGATTCTGGGTTTGTATCCCTACGTTAATGATTGGGATCCTATTTTGTGTGACTGAAAAATCACATTTGGCAATGTTAACCCTCCAATATTGATGATGTCACTGATGTCGCTGATGTTACTGATGTGGATGATGTTGATGATGTTGCTGATGTAGTTGATGTTGTTGATGTTGATGATGTCACTGATGTTGATGTTTAATGATATCGTTGATGTCGCTGATGTTGCTGATATCGCTGATGTTGATGATGTTGCTAATATTGATGATGTCACTGATGTTGATGACGTCTCTGATGTTGTTGATGTTGATGATGTCGCTGATGTTGATGATGTAGGAGATTTAGTTGATGTTGCTGATGTAGTTGATGTTACTGATGTTGATGTTGATGTTGATGTTGAAGTTGATCAGCGACATCAGTAAAAACTTACATTTGATCTCCACTTGCTTTGCTAGATTTGATTTCCTCTCAAAAGATTGAAAGGTTGTAGGATCATAAGGTGGAGCCATGGTATAAGGGCTCGTATCTGCTAGACCGCTCACCATGGAACTCATCTTAAACGTCTTTTCTACCTTTGGTCCAGAACATGCCATTGTCTCTAAGCACACTTCAACTGATTCTTCTGGTACAGTTGGTTTGTATTTCAAAAGTTTTCTATATCTATATAGCAAATGAAACATAAACTCCATACATAATATATATTTTACAAGTCGACAAACACCCAATCCTTGCCCTGATACTACAAACCCTTCGGGTTGTTCCATATAGATCTCTTCATTTAGATCACCGTTTAAGAAAGCTGTTTTAACATCCATTTGATGTATTTCTAAATTAAACAACGCTGCTATAGCAATAAGCATGCGAATGGATGTTATTCTTGTCACAGGGGAATATGTGTCAAAATAGTCCAGACATTCCTTTTGTCTGTAACCTTTAACTACAAGTCTTGCTTTATACTTGTCAATTGAACCATCTGCTTTCATTTTTCTCTTGAATATCCATTTATATCTAAGAGGTTTAGAACCTGGTGGAAGGTCCACCAATTCCCAAGTATGATTTGGCATAATGGATTCTTAATAGCCTCTTTCCATAAAGGTGCTTCAGGACCTGTCATTGCTGCCTTAAAGCTTTGAGGTTCAGTTTCTAACCGGTATGTCAGAAAATCTGGACCAAAGGATTTTGATGTTCTCGCTCTTTTACTTCGTCTTGGTTCATCATTAGTTAAATCTTGTTGGTCGAGACCATTACTAGTCTCTTGTGTTTTGATTGTCATTAGTCTTTTGACTTTGTGTACAATCATAAGTTCTTTTCTATGAACTTAATTCCTGTCCTTTATAAGTCAGAAATCGATATGCACAATCATAAGTTCACAAGTTCCTGTCCTTAATTCTTGTACAATCATAAGTTCACATCTATATCAGGTATTTCTGATTTATAAGTCAGAAACCGATATGCACTACTATTCTGAGCATAACCAATAAACACACAATCTACTGTTTTTTGTCCAATTTTAGTCTTTTTAGGAACAGGAACTTCAACTTTTGCCAAACACCCCCACACTTTTAAGTATTGGTAGGAAGGCAGTCGACCTTTCCACAATTCATAAGGAGTGTTGTCTATTTTCTTGTGGGGTATTATGTTAAGAACATAATTAACAGACAATATTGTTTCCCCCCACAAGTTCTGTGGTAAGCCTGAACTTAGTAATATGACATTCATCATTTCTTTTAGGGTTCTATTCTTCCTTTCAGCAATTCCATTTTGCTGTGGAGAATAAGGGGCTGTAGTTTGGTGAATAATGCCACATTGTGCACAAAATTCATCTAATGGTGCATCATATTCACCACCCCTATTACTTTTGATATAAATCAATGAATTTCAAAACAAATTCAAGAAAAAACCAAAATAATTATGACTACTCAAGTCAGAATTAATGTTTTGACAAAATCATATCCTTATAAAAAATTTGCCTAAGAATCAAACAATTCAAAAACCCATTTCATTGTATACATTCTTGCAACTCAATAACAAATAAATGTCATTGTCATAAAAATATTTATGACAGAAGAAAATTAAATTATCTCAACTAATGCAAGAGATATACCCCCATATTAATAAAATGGTTCATGGTTTAACATATTCTACTACGCAAG